CTGCTCGTACTCTTCACGTTAATGCTCGTAGTTGACATCCAAATGGACTACGGCATATCAGGACACAGAGTCCCCCTGCACGGACGAGTCCGAATAGGGGACGATCAGGATAAAGGAAGATCCGCGTACATAGAATTCAGAAAACGATTCCTTCAGAAAAGGTGAGAAGTGTTTCAAGTGTTTTTGTGATTTATATGTGAATTAATTTGTGGACTTTGGAGGTAAGTATTGTTTATTATCTACAATTTAATGATCTTTATCTAGTATTTTCACACAATTTGTTCGCATTACATTTAAATTATATAGAAATTTTAAAATGAAAGCGGTGATAACTTTTGGCTTAGATAAATTTTATTGTTAAACACATGAATATCAAAAACAAAGATAGACCGTGGTCCGCAAGTAATTCAGAACATGTACAATGTAATCATATTTTATCTTCGAAGCAAGCATCTAACGAGTCTGAATTAATTTATTAAGGTTGAAGTCCTTTATCTTCGGATTTATTAACTATACTCAATAATGTAAATATGTTACTGGACCAACAAGTAGTTATTTACTCGTCCTTTTAACATATTATTTGTATTTTTAGTTAGAGCAATGTTATCAGGCGACGTTATCGCTATGTTTACTGCTATGACAACGTCTTAGTTGATAACGAATGTTCTCTCTCGGCCATTATAAACAAGAAGTAACATAAAAATATATATTATATTAGCAAAGTAGATAATTTTTGCAAACAACGATAGAAGATTTAAATCCCAAATAGTTACTATGAAATTACGTGAAGTGTTATTAGGAACATTGTACCATGTTTACACACCTGTCGGAAAGTTTTTTTTAACTGAAATTGGTTAAAATAATTCTTTACATTTTCCGTATCTTGTTTCATAAGTTAACTAGCTTTCGCCCGCGACTCCGTCCGCGTGGAATTAGAAAAAAACACAAGTATCTATCTAAGTATCTATGTAGCCTATGTTTTCTTCCAGACAATCATCTACATCTCCGTTCCGTTCAGTAGTTTAGACTACAAACAATAAAAAACATCCATCCATCTAAACTTTCGCATTTATAATATTAGTACGATAGTTTATCTTGGTAACTTATATTTGGACACTAGAGTATTGACTAATTTAAATTTCGGTGTCTAAAATTCACGCTTATACCGAGTTATGTACATGTCAATAAGGATAAACATCGCTGTGATGTTATATTCATAAAATTTCCTATTAAACTTAATATAACAGTAGTATTAGATTTGACAGTCATTGCCTGAAACATGTAATATGATTTTCTAGAAGTTTTTAACTGAAAATGATACAATACTAGTAAAAGAATGAGGCCAATATAGTTTTAGTTGGTCACTTGTGATGTGTCACCAATACATAACAATAGCGCCCTTGTTCAAATTTATAACGACAATAGGATTCTTTTGTGTTTATTAAATGTTTGAAATATTATATGAATGTGTTACGTAATAAATATTACATTTTTAATGTAGTTATTAGTTTGACGAAGATGGATAAAATAAACTAAGAATACGAGACACGAATTTATAAATGTAATTTAAAAGACTCTGTATGTACTGTTTTTACTTACTTGTTACTATTTAGTGAATGTTACGGAATTTTGTATTTTTGTATCACGTGTTTCATCGCTGAACAGTATGTGCAAAAACGTATTAACAAAAAGAAGAGACGTATAACATTACTAGCTTTCGCCCGCGCCATCGTCCGCGTGGAATTAATGAAAAAGAAATGAGTAACTTATGTGTTATTCCAGACTATCCTCTACATCTATGCTAAACTTCATCGAGAGTCGTTGAGTCGTTTAAGCTAAAAACTCTAACAAACATCCATCCATCTAAACTTTCGCATTTATAATACTAATAAGATATATTTGTGAATAGTATGTATGTTGAAATACATTGCCGAATATTACCCGAATTAAATGACGCTATTCGACATTAAATTCGTGTAAGTTGTAAAAGGAAAATGTAGCAATAATCGCAGTGTAGTAAACATGTATTTAGAACGATAGTATTGGCTAATTTTAGTCCTACCATACTTATCAGCGGACTCCCCAATCCATTATTACTATCAGAAATTATCATATATCATTCTCTCACATCATATTTTTATTATCTAACCAAACAACATTGGCATTAGGCGTTTGTGTATGTTGCATTACATAAAAATTCAGTGACCATATTCACAGCAATATTATAGGTAGAGCAAGACCGAAAGTAAGGATAGATTGTTTGAAAAAGGATATACTTAAGAATTCAGAAATTACGGATGACAGAGATGTATGGAAGAGCAGCATATACTGTGCCCACGCTCCGTAGGTAAATAGGTGACGGTTATAGACTATATAGACCAGGTTGAGATTTGACTACTCAATATTAAATACAGGACTATATTTGGCCTGTGTAATTTTTTACAATGATAGGAATCCAGATAATAAAAATTAATAACAAGTGTATTACTAGTATTATCACATCTCCATACCGCATTGCACCTTTCAGAAATAATTATGACCTCTCATTACGTGTTTCCACTAATGTAAGTCACGTCATTCATGTCTAAACAAATATTTACCGCTCCTGGTATATTATTCTAATGACACATTTCCTGTAATTACTTATTTAGACAATGAATACTACAAGCGGTCAAGGTTAAACATTTCACCGTGAAATTCGAATACCGTAAATATCGTTATTATTGTTTTTAAATAGAATGTGCGGGATATTTCTCACAAGATTTTTTGACACTGGTAACCCACAGTAAAGTTTAATTTTAAAGGTCAAATACGCAGACGAACTAAGGTATATGTCATTAGAAACAAGATTTTAATAAATTTAGTTTCAAATTTAAAAAATTACAATACTATACCTGGTCAATATTATTTTGTTTTCTAATATGAGCGATGAAATCACGACTATGCCGTAAGTAGACTCTTATACATTTAAATTTCTAAGTATAAATTGAAATTTCGAAACATCTAGAAAGAATGTATTACCTCTAGTTTGTTGTAGCTAGAATTTTATCACATAGAACAAACACAAAGATATGTTGATGCTGGCATTGAAATGCCTTTTGTCATTTAACATTCCAGCGTAAGACTAATTTATAAAGTAAAATTCGTAATTATAATCTTAGTGTCCTATGTACAAAATAATTTACATAATAATTAACGATGTACTAGAAAGAAAACAATAACAACTGAGAACCATAAGAGATTACAATCTCGAAAATATTTTAAACATAATTCTTAAGTCTGCCTGCATAGAAACACACTCCGATTTATTCCCGCAAATATAATTCGAGTTTAATATACTAAAAGCATTTTACGTCAGCATCTCAACTGAAATTATTCTTTTTCATTTAGAAAATATTTATTTATACATTACGGGGACAGCTTTTGTCGTAGAACAATACCATAATTAATTTGTCATCGCGTCGGCTGCGCAAATATATTAAACAAACGTAATATGAGTTCGCCACTCTATGGTTTTCGAGCTAGGGAACAATACGCGTGTATTCTAAGTGTCTCTTTACAATGGCGCTAGCAAACAAAAATCTTAAGAATTATGTCCGCGTCAAGGACCGACGCTATTGTTTTTCTACAAATGAAATTCTCGTCGTTCGCGTTTCTGAATTTGCAGTCACAGCGAGTAGGGAGAAAAATATTTTGTGACAGCTCCTTCGAATACATTGATATGCGATGCATGCACATTGATTTCAGCGTAGGACGCAAATCCGGTCCATTTTCAATGGAAAGTGTATCATTTGGATACATGCAATACATGGCTGATGATTTCTACGTTATATTGTGGTACTCTTCTGATGCCCGGTTCACACTTGGCCAGTACAGTTGGATAATTGCACCGGCAAGTTATTGATATGGTTTCATTGGTGCCAGTTAGCCGTCACAATTTGCCAGTTGAATGTCGCTCCCGTCATAGAGCGCTACTGACTTACTATCAGGATAAGAGTCAACCGCACATAAGGGTTTGCGATGTGCCCAACTTGACAAATAGGGTTGCCACTTATTATAATTAAGTACGAATATGTGTTTGTTTTCTCATCAAAATTACAATGAAACCTTTTCCTTAAATTGCTTTAAGAAAAATGTCCTACGTATAGGTATTGTTCTACTCAAGTTACATTTGCAGTTTATTGTTGATTCACTACTTTATTTGAACAATCGTTTTAATGTAGTTGAAACAGATGATTTAATGTACTTATCATAATTCATTAAGTATTATTACATGCGAATATTAAAGGTTAGATGCAACTGTAATAAGAATTACTATTGTTTCAAGAAACACAAAGAGTGCGTTTTGTTTTCGATAAAGTATTCGTCTATATAATAAAAATAATTTATGTTCAGTCAATATTTGTAAGTTGTTCAGCGGTTCCGTGGAGGTTCCTCATTGTTCAATATTTCTGGAAGTTTCAATTATTCTAAGAAGGTATTGTTAACAGCGTATTTATGAAGAATCGATTTCCACTTACGAAACAATCTTGTCTATTTTGTACTTTATTTCCCTAACAATTTACAGCGAGCAACGACTACTGCAGGAATAACTGATTGAAGATTCATTTAAGCTTTTTGAGAGTCTTCAGTTTCATTATAATAGGCGGTACTTGAAATTTGTTAAGAAATTTAAGTGATTAAAAATTTCTCTTTCGTTTTCTTCATATTTTTATTCACGATTAGTTTCAAGTTATCATACTAATATTATAAATGCAAAAGTTTAGGTGGATGGATGTATGTTTGTTAGAGTTTGTATCCTAAACTGCTGAACGGATTCCGATGAAATTTAACATAGATGTAGTATAGTCTGGAAGTACATAGAGGCTATTCTTTTATTCTTTTTTTAATTCTACGCGGACGAAGTCGGGGACAAAAGCTAGTTTTAAATAATTAGCAATTGATAAGAATAGAAAAACAAACCGATCAGGGTGCTACGAACTAAAGCCTACGTTCGAGAACATATGCATGGGCAGTCGGTCTAAGTTGTACTGGTAAATAAAGAAAGAACATGCCACAAGTCATAACGAGTTTACATTCTCACCCAGGTCTTAATTAAATGATATTGTTTTAGTAATGGAAGCAACGGATCTCGAGAGTTTGAGCAGTCTGCACCCAGTGAGACGAGCGGCGGCGGTGAGGCGGAACCTCGCACGCCAGCGCCTCCCGTGGACCACTACGAAGACCTAGTGAAGATCATCAACTCCCAGCTCACGGGGCATAATGAGGATCACCCCGTGGTAGTCCCTCCTCACCACGACCTCAATGTGCTCAGGCCAGAGAACCCCACTATTGGGGAAATGGAGGATCTTGAACCAAGGTACTTTTACAAGTAAACTTTTACTTTAAATTTCCTTCTTCTTTTACCTTTTTTGTTCTTGGTCATCAAATAAATTACACATGGCACAAGAGGATTGACGTTGGTAAAGTTTTTATCAGACCAAAATTATACTCAATTATAATGTACCATTGAAATTAATTGATTTAAGAATTAAAAACCACACTTCATTAAATGAACATCGTGGCTGACTAGAAATTATAAGCGTCAAATTATTTTAGTAGTTAGAGGCACAATTGGTTAACTCGGAAACCAGTTAAGTTGAAACATTAATTTAAATTTTCAAACGAATAACGACGGCAAAAAGACATCACAAGGAACATTTTCTGAAAGTTTTTGACGTCTGACATCTAAAAGTACAATTTATGTTGCGCGGAGAGTCGACGAATTAATTGTTACTTCGTTATTGCTGCAATTAAACTTGGAAAATACGAATATTACAAGTATAAACCTAAAATGTTATTCTATTCGTTCTTTTGTAACATTCGTTATTTTTATGCCATGCTAGTAGAATTTAGAGAATCATCTTATTAAAAATGATTACACATAAAATTAAAAAAATAATTAATCATAACAAATTGCTTGTTTACATCGTATAGAAAATGAAAAAGAAATCATACTCGTTGTAGAAACAACAGCCAGCTTCTCGAGGGAATAAAACTGTATTTCAATCGAACGCTTTTATTTGCTAACTATAATAACCGCCTTATAATGTTAACAAACCGCGTTCTAAACGCCAACGTTCTTTCGTCTGCGGCAGCACCGACCGAGCTTTGAACTATGCATCATAACCAAACATTTCTAGCTAGAGGGTTCCACGTAATTTCTCCGTAGTAAATATTAGACGTCTCACAGGATCGTCGTCTAATGAAAAAACACGTATCACAAAAAGCTGTATGTATTTATAGCGTTTGCAACAATGGACCGTAAAAAGTATCATCTTATACTTCTTTAACAAACTGGTTGTATATGTAATAGATTGGGCGACCTTTTTTATCCTGTAAATTTTACACGCTCAAGCAGAAAATCTTATTTAAAATCCTGTTAGGGCCGCGTCGAGATAGGGGCGGGCCTTTTGACAATAAAACTAAATGGAATGAATGCATGACGGCTTCCTCAAGCGACGCTTATGATATGACGGCCCGCCTTATAGCTGAGATTCGTTTATCGTATGGAAACCTACACAAACCTGTATAAATATTTGCTTAAATTTCTTTAGACGCGGAAAGGATTTTCTTTGGACTATTTTTAAATTAAATTTTAGTAAACACGATATATTTTCTTGATTTAAGAAAAATATCGGAAGAGATAACATTAAAATCTTTGAAGTCTCGAGGAAGTTACGCGTTTATGTCTTATGCTAAGCAGATATTAATTCCAGCTTCTAAGACATTAAATTTAAATTTAATGGTAGTAGTATTACAATACCCATTATTAGTATTACTTTAACAGTTAAAAACATATCATTAAAATATTTTTGTCATCACATCCTTTCCATTCTTTTTATTAAATTAATAGCTGATGCTCGCGACTTCATCCGCGTGAAGTTGAGAAACAATAAAAAAACCATGTTACACACTGAAATCGTAGCTTTTTAATGGTAAAACAATTTTTGAAATCGGCCTAGTAATTTTTGTATTATTTCAATACATACAAAAATTCAAAAATGCAAATTTTTCCTCTTTATAATATTAGTATAGATTAAATTAAAGAGGCACCTAACTTTATTTATTTTTCGTATTTTACCTTAGAACTTAGAGTTTAAATTGCAACTGTTTATGACATACTTATGTAGATAGTGTTATGATTAGATTTGCTGTACAATTTCTCTACCTTTCTTTAATATAAATGTTGAATGTAAAGGCAAATCTTAATTTCTCACGTTAATGTTAGAGAATAAAGAAAAAGTGTTTAATTTAATATTCTAAATAAAGATTCATTGTGTTCAAAATAGACGTCGGAGCAGACACTAGGCTACATTTGATGTGTTTCGTTAACCACATCGTAGTACGTTTAATGTCCAAATGTGGTGTGATCCGGCTTTCCGAATTCCCATTTGACTGGGTCGCATATCACACTGAAAGAGAGTCGATAAATTTTCTAGTAGGTGCCGGCATCATTTCTAAATGCAGGTTATCGGAGCATGGCACAAATCGAGGACGCTACAATCACTCCTTAGTATTCAGCGGCGACCTTCGCGACTAGATCATTCTCCTCACGTCCACTCATGTGTTCCACGCAGCCAAAACCAACGAGACGCCAAGAAAATCTTCCATGTAAATCTCGACATTAACGATCAGGTTTAGTGTGTGTGCGGAAATTTTAAAGCGAATTTCGGATAGTATGTGTTGAATTATGCATTCGACAGCTCGTTTTCTTTATATTTTCTATCCTTGTAAAATATCTCTTGTATCGTCTTCATTTTGTAAACAAAACAAATGTTGATACAAATAAATATTGATAGATAGGTTTTAAAAGTTTTACAATAACGTAACTAAAATGTAATTAAACACAGAAATATATCCTTTGAGAATAAACATTCTATAATAAATGCTTTAAGAAATTCTTATAACATAAAAATGTACTTTATGATACAATAGTAGCCATCGTAAAGTCTTGTCTAATGCTACAGTACGTAGGACACTTGCTTGCAAATCCATGTCTAGCGATCATTTTGTAGACAAAGTCTTCTTCCCAAAAGAAACCATATAAACCACTGACATCAGATTCCAATATAAGTGAATGAAATGGGAAGAATGACTAATAGCTTATGCCACATTAAGTTAACCGTAATAGAATGTTTGTATTCCAGTGTCAACGCGTCCAACTTGGAGAAGTTCCAGCTACGGATAGCGCAGCACGAGTTGTACGAGGACGGGGAGCCGCTTGTTGACGCCGTGCTCAAGGACATGGCCACATTGCCCATATTGCACGCAGGTTCTTAAAATCATAACGTAATTTAATAACTAATAATAAAACAAGACACCAGACTGTGTATATGACATCCCAAGAATACAAATTGACTGTCACATTTCAAAATCTTTTGATCTTCCAAATGTATATGCTACATTTCCTCTCAACTTTTTTCCCATCATACTTACCGGGTCTTCCGTAGATCCTTCCAGCAACGGAATTAATCCATCGTATTGAAAAGTCGACGATATGTATATTAAATGAAGTCGGTCGTACAATCAGTTACGGGTTACCTGTCGGACAATAGTGCCACAACAATCTCGCCCTTTACTTCCAAATTGGACTTAAATATTAAATGACCTAAATGGATTTCGTTATAGGTCCGAATTAAGTCTGCCCTATAATATTCAAATGTGAAAAAAACCTATCGGTCTATTAAACTTTTCCATCACTACTTCAACACATTAAGGATAAGAATCATACTAAGTTTTGATTTTATTAATAACACGAGCTGTCGCCCGCAAACTTCGTTAGCGCAATTACGACCCGACCAGCCATTACGCCATTTTGACAGCGCGGAATTTAAAAAAGTAGCA